TCCCTTCAAGGCTCAGGGGTCCAGGATTATCTTCTGTGTCTGTGTTAATTGGTTTCCCTTTTCTTTGTAGAAGAGGGTCAGTGCATTCTTTCTGCCTAGTCTGCCATCTTGCCAGCTACACCTTTATTTATTTTTTAATTCTCGAAACTTTTGTTCCTCTTTTGGCATTGAATGTTGTATGTTAAGGTAGTTACACAAATGTTTCACTTCTACACAATTTGAAATTTGATGGTTATGATATAAATTTTGAGTAATCATATGTAGTGTTTACTTTTGAAGAGTAAAGAAAAATGTGGTTTATTTCTTATATGTAATAAAATATTTTAGGTAAAATTATAATAAATATTTAGTGTTGAGGTATGTGCTTTTACTTTATTATCATAAGGCATATTTTACTTACAGATACCTATTTGTGTTAATGTTAGTGTGGATGATTTTGTACATAGATGCTGGAAAAGCTGGCTAACCATGATGCTTATTGCTATGTTTTAAGCTCACTTTACAGTCTCATCCATCCAGAGTACTGTGGCACATCTTTGTTGTCCCAGAATGTGGATATTTGCTTAAACAGGTGGCATGATTAACTTATATCCTGGTTTAGAAAACCCAGGCTTTCTCTTGAGCGTCGCATTGGTTTTATTATAAATGAGCTATTTATAAAATAACCAAACAGAATATGCCATTTTACGTAAACCATATTACTTACCTCTCTACCCTCATTTTATTAGAGAGACAGTATAAAATATTAAGGAATACTGAAAATCACATATAATCTTATGTAGGGAATCCCAGGGTTGCAAACTTGCAATTTATATACAATCCATACTTATAAACCATCCCCCCGTAAAGCCTATTATATTAAAAATTCAGGGTACATGTATTGATTTGTAATAACAGATGGGCACTACTTTGTGACATGCATCAAAGCATTTTTAATATATTATTATGTTAAAGATGTTTTAATGTATGTGGAAGTATTTCTTGACTGATTTTTATGCATAGAATTGTGTACTGCGTACTATATACTAAGACAAACCTTTGACTAACTGATGTTAGATATGATAAGAACCAAACCATACCTAACTTTTCCATCTTACACACGAACTCAAATTAAAGATAGACTTTGGAACAGAATTTGTTTATAATCGAGGGATTACCTATAGTCTTCCACCACTCTGCATCCCTTATTCTTCACATACGTGTATGTACATTGCAATCACTTAAATATTTTTTATTTAAAAATACATTATATTAAAATGGAGTAATATTGTACATAGTCTATCACATAATTCCATTAACTCTGTCTTTTTTTAACTTTCATTTTTATAGTTCATAGTTTCCTAGTTCTCATACTTCTGTACAAACAAATTTTATTCCTGCTCTTACTTATAATTTGCTTCTCTGGTTTCAGGTAATACATTTTTCTCTGTGGTGAGCATTTTTCTAGGGTTCCATGAGAGTCATTTTGATCTTTATATCTTAATTCTGGCTTCTTTGTCCTGGAAAGAATCTTTTGAACCCAAACGAGGAGAGTTAGTTTGTTTTACTTTTTAATTTCCATTTTCTAAGCATCTGTTTCACTGCTCCCACGCAGGAGAAACAGAATGAAGAGCTCTGTATGGCTTTATGCTGTTGAGAGAGTAATAGCCTTCCTTTATGTTTCCAAACAGAAGGTAACTTTCTACTTTCTCTCTTTTGAAGAGGAGTAAAACAGGCCCTTCTTTATTTCTTCCTTATACAAAGCTAGGTGTAGCCTACTTTTTATATTTGGCTGCTTAGTAGCTTTTAAGCTCTCCACCTCACTCCCCGCCCCCTCCCCAACATAAGGAGCTCTAGAGGTATCGTAGTTAAGGCATTTGGCTGCTAACCAAAATATTGGTAGTTCAAACCCACCAGCTCCTCTGTGGAAGAAAGATGAGGCAGTCTGCTTCAGTAAAGATTTACAGCCTTGAAAACCCTATAAGGGTCACTGTGAGTTGAAAACAACTCCAAGACAGGTTGGTTTGGAGTTTGAGTAGCTTTTAAAAAATCTATAACTACTCTTTATCTTTCTTAAGTTTTATTTGTTATAGATTTAACATGGTACCTTGTGATCCCCAGAACTATGTCACCTTCAGAATTTTTTTCTACAGAAGCTGATTATCATAGAATATTAATGCAGTAGCAGAGTTGATATCCTAATAATGTGAATGGTCATCTTAGCAAGAATCTTTATTCATGCCAGCAGAGGGAGAGAAGAATCTGTTTTAAGGGTATTCTACATTCACAAATAATTTTCTTCATTACTTTCATATTTTTGAGCTGTTTAAAATAATTCCAAATTTAGTGAAAAACAAGAAGTAAATGTGAGAATAGATTCCATCTAGAGATACTGGAAGACAAAGTATTGTCTGGCTTTTGGGGTGCTAACAACCTGAGGCTTATCAGGACAGAGAGGGTTCCCATTCATTTGTGAGTATGCAATATATTTAATTATTTACTATAATTACAAGTTCAGGTAAAAAGGGTAATGAGTAGACTGAGAAATTAAATAACTTAGGTACTAGTTGTTGCAGCTCTACTACTCTAGGTGTGTGATCTCACTTTAACTTCCCAAAACTCCTAAGTTTCTCACATCTATGCAGAAGATACGGCTCACGCATAGTCTATGGGACCATTGGACAGAAAAATGGAGATAATGCATGGAAAAGTACTTTGAAATTAGTATATTTGTATGAAAATGTGACAGATTGTGGTACATGCATAAGAGAGAGAGAAATGAAACAGAACCAGGCCATCTGTTGGATTCATGGTAAAACATTGAATGAGAGAGAGGCATTTATTTGAATACTCTTCTAGTTAGGCAGGTACTATCATTCTTTTGTTTTTAAAGACAAGGATATCGAACTCAAGAATGGTTACGTTTCTTGTCAAAACTTATTCACTAGTTAAGGGTTGGACTCAGTTTTAAATCAAAGCTACCTAACTCCAAAACCCCTGTTATTTTTCGTCTATAATGCATTAATCTTATAATCCAGTTTTCAAAAGATGGGCAGAAATAAAAACTTGAAAAATTAGGTTTGCTATTCAGCTAACATGCGTAGATTTTTAGTTAATTTGTTCAAAACCCTAAAATTGAAGTTCAAAGAGAGATTGTAAATTTAAAACATTATCTCTTATATGTTAGCATTTAAAGGTTACCAAGAAAACAAAATGAATGGTACAACTATATTGGGAGTTGTTGTTGTTGTTGTTGTTATTTGCCGTCGAGTCGGCCTCGACTCATAGCGACCCCTCCTTGGGTTTCCGAGGCAGTATCACTACGGAAGTAGGATTGCCCAACCTTCCTTCCGAGGAGTGGCTGGCGGGTTGGGAGTAGGGAGTCTAAGTAAGCAGATTTCTTATTAGAAGTCAATAGATAATTTTGAAAAATAAATTAGAAAATAACAATATTTACTTACAGAGATTGATTATGCAGTAGAACCTAGGGGTTGTGGGGTGAGCTGAGGTAAGAAACAACAGTTTTTTGTTTTTAACCTGTCTGTAGAATTTTAAATTTTAAGTATGTGCAGATATTACGGGGGCGGGGGGTAAATATTTTGTAAAAATCTGAAGCAAAGATTACTTAGATAAACTTTCTTGGAAAAGATTGTTTGGACAGAATAGCAGTACAAAATTACCACTTATCTCTGAACATATAAAAGAAACTACTAGTGAATGTATGGGAGCTCTGGTAGTGTAGTGCCTAAGGTACTAAACTGCTAACCAGAAGGCTTGGCGGTGCAAACCCACCAGCCACTCCTTGGAAGGAAGGTTGGGCAATCTACTTCCATAGTGATACCACTTCGGAAACCCAAGGAGGGGTTGCTATGAGTCAAGTCCGACTCAACGGCACATAACAACAACAACAACAACAGTGAATGTATACTGATTAACAATTATGACATTTGGTACTAATCAAATCGTCCAGCTCTTTATGATTAAAGTGTCTTTATAACCTATTAAAGTACAGTGAAATGGTTTGGTATAAGAATGGTTGCATTAATACTGTAAGGACCTAGAATGAGCCACTACCATATTACTTGTCAGTGATAAACTTCTTTGACTGGAAAATATTAACAGTTTGACTATGAAGACTATATTTGAACAAGGCCTCTATTGTGATGGACTCCTTCCTTCTTCCCTTACCTTCTTCTTCCCTTTATATATGTATTTATTTATTTATTTTGGGGAGGGGAGAAGTGTATTTTCTTTGGGACTTCGTTGTACCACTCCAATTCTGACCACCTCAGAATAAGTGCCATGCTATCCTGGTTATACAATAAAGCCCATAGCTCTAGGATTTTTTTCTCCCAACATCAAGTCATTACCGTATTTCGGGAGAACTCAGAATAATAAAACTTAGACATGGATTTAAATAATTTTAAATAGTCTTAAACAGTTATGGCTCCAATTTCAACAAACATATCCAGTAGAAAGTATATACTTGCACAGAATCAAGTTTGTATAGAATCTTTAAAAGTTATTAATACAGGATATATGAAAGTATTTTTTAAATATTTCTAAAAAAATAATCTGATAGTTTCATGTTTAGACAGTTATTTCTGAGGGTGATTATTTAAAATACTATTGAAGACATTACAATCTAAGATATGGTTTAATTATATGTTAGAGATATTGCAGGTAATTTATCATGGAGATAGGGTTTATATGTTTGTCTTGTAAGTGAAAGTCTAAGATTTTCAAGTCCTTAATTGTCATTATTTTTTAATGTTTCTTTAAAATTATTATTATTAATAGCTGTGTACGATCGAATGCGAGCAGATCAGAAGAAATTTGGTAAAGCTTCATGGGCAGCAGCTGCTGAACGTATGGAAAAGCTCCAGTATGCAGTTTCTAAGGAGACTTTGCAGATGATGAGAGCTAAAGAAATCTGTTTGGAACAGAGGAAACACGCACTAAAAGAAGAGGTAACAAAAATCATGTGAGAAATATCAAGAAAGTTAAGAAAAAATTATTTTTATTCGTATGTAGATTGACATATTTCTGATTCCACAGGCAATTATTAAATAATGTACTGTGTCCTTGAGATATGATGATGATAATACTCTTATTGGAGCCTGTGATTGAGTTGCCACTAATAGAAGAGTAGACCCACCTGTATTTCACAGCCTTCCAGTGTGACTCTAAGCAACACTTTTAGGAAAATGGAGTGTTAACATCAGAACTTCTGTTTTTTATACTGTTAAACTTAGAGCTTTCAGGCAATTACTAAGAAAATTTCGCTGCCCATAAAAATTTAGTAAAAATTTCAACTCCAAAAAAATACTTCAACTCTGACTTCCTCAGAATAAGCTTCATATGCTAGCATGATTTTATAGTAAATCCCATATAGCAATTTGCTAGTATTGATTGTGCATGCTCAAACCATTTCTTTGGGGAATTTTCCATCTTATTCCTACAAAACAAATAAGAAGACTGATTTTTTTTTGTTGTTCTTGTCCCTTAAAAACTTCCTTATGGAAACAGAATTTTTTAAAAAGTGAACTTAAATGATGGTGTTGAAATATTTTGGTCCTGTGGGAGATTATTTAAGCTGGGAAAAGCCTTAGAAATCCTTAAGCAATTTCTGTTCTGTGTATTCAAAACCATCTAAAATTATATTTTAAAAATTATTAACTACTTTTTTTCATTCATCTTGTTCCAGTAATTATTTTTTTATTCTTCATACTGCCAATATAGCCCTAAATATACCATTGGTGGCCGTGCTTGAAAGGACTGAGACTGTTACTAGGTGCATGCCATTTTTCTTTACCTCCTATGCCAATATTTTTTAAATTATTATTGTATGTTTTATTACTAAGCTGAGTAAGAACAGATTGCTTCTTAAAGAAAAAGTATTTAAATATCTACAAAACTGATAGTTTTTCTGGATGTTAGAAAAAGCAAGTGCTCAGGTTTAGGAGCATAATATTGTTGAAAATAATGAAAATTTAATAGTTAATAGTGGATGAAGAATAAAGCTAGTGTGATGGATGAGCCTTAAGAGGGTGTTATAGATGGCATATAATAAAACTTGATGCTCTAGGTAGAACAGTTCAGTTTGTACCTATGTGCCCAGAATGAAAGCTCCAAATATTTACTGGAAGAAAAGTGTTTCAATTTTTAAGTAAACTTTGGGTGGTTTTCTTTTGGTGTCACTTTATACTTTACTTAAAACAATATTTGATCATATATTATTTTATTTAGACAGTTTGGGGAAATATTAAATTATGTTATTTGCCAATATGCTATAAAGAATATTTTCTAGTACCAAACTCATCTTCTTTCTTTTCCCTTACCAAATCTTCTTCAGATCTCCCCTTTCTGTAAGGGCCCACTGTTCTACAGAATATTCTAGGTCCAAAGGTGTAGGGTCCACCTTTAATTTTAACTATCCATCTGTCTTGTTTGCCACCACCTCTGTTTCTGCCTTTTGGAATCCTACCCAACTCAGATGCCCCTGTTCTAGGAATTAGAATGAATGACGGAGGCAAAGAGATGATTTATATCCTTGCCTCCATTTATTTAGGTTTTTTCTTTTTTTAATTATGAATAAGATGTAATCATGTGTTAAAGGTTTCTAAGTGTGGTAGGACAAGTCCAATATAGTATGTAAAGGAGCTGGAAGATGGCAGGTATTTATCAAATCAAAGTGGACCAATGGAAGCAACACTTAGCTTTGACCAGAGGGTCATAGGTCAAGAGAAGCACTGTGTGTTCCAGGAGTCCCACCCAGTTGGGGCAGGAAAAAACAGATGGAGCCATTATAAGGTTTCATGCAAGGAGTGACATGATCAGGATTATTCTTGTGAAATACTATTCTGGCTAGTTTATCTAGAGTGGATTGAGGGTCCATTCTTAAATCCTTAGCCCCTGTTTCCTTACACAGGAAACTGCTTTTCAAACTTTATTTCGTTGCTGATAGTATGAATCTAGGCATTTCTCAGAATATAAACCCCTCATCAGGCATATGATTTGCAGATATTTGCTCTAGTTCTGCAGGTGGTTGTCTATATTGAATATTAAAACATTCAATAAATATTTGTGAAGTGTAGTATATTTTATCAGTGGAGAAGAACAAAATGTCTTTGCTGCTTGTATTAATTTTTACAACAATGTCAAATATATTGCTTCATGAAACTTTTTTTGGCTTCCAAAACAAAACAAACTCACTGCCATCAAGTCAATTTTGACTTATAGTGATCCTCATTGGTTTTCCAAGGCTGTAAATCTTTACAGAAGCAGATTGCCTCATCTTTCTTCCATGGAGCAGCTGGTGGTTCAAACCACCAACTTTTTGGTTAGCAACCAAATACCTTAACCACTACACCACCAGAGCTCCTTAGGAAACGCATACAGCAAGATGGTCCTCATAGATGTTTTAAAAGTGCTTATGTGGATATACTCTTACTTTAAACATGCAAGAGTTAAGTTTTTTAATTTATCATAGCTGTGATCTAGAAAGAAATTTTTTGTATGTTACCATGATTCTATTTTCCCCTTAATTTTTTTATTAGCTAGTATTGGTAGAAATCCAATATGAGGTAAAATTCAATCTTGGATCTTTTTCATGCTTTATATGTAGAATCTCTGCAGGGATTTCAGCCCCATCTTGTGTTCCCCTGAGGCATTTCTACTACAGTCTCGTCTATTAGTTAGCTTGCTCCCATGTTACTAGCTGTCTGGAATTTTCTTCAATTCTAGAACTTAAATTAAAATACTAGCATTTTATTGGCAGTCTAGGGTAGAGTACCACTCTTTGTTTTCTTTTATCACATGAGATAGCTTTGTTGTTGTAACTTGGCCAACAGTGAGTTTTTTTGATATCACGTACTACCTGAAAGAATTACTGAAGATGAGGTTTAGTCTAAGGTGGTGGAGAAAGGGCAAGGCTGAAATGGACCCTAAGAGCTTGAGATGATTATCTATGGGGTCATTTTCACCTCGGGCCATCTTATTAATACAGTACTCCGTTTTTAAAGTCCTGGATTGTATTTGAGTTTGTCAAGTGATTTGTTAAAATTGTTAGTCATTCTTGTCAGGTTTAAGCTTGTTGTGTTTATAATGTGCATATTATGCTTTTCACATGTGTTATTAGCATTAATTTAAGGTGACCACATACTCATGAGAAACAAAGCAACCATGAATTATTAAGCCCATCCCAGACAAATGCTATGCCAACAGAGGTTTTGAAATATAGTACTGCTCTGTGATTTAAGTCATGCAGAGACTTGTTCTTTAAAAGATATGTCAATATGTTGTGTCCCCTTAAGTTATTTAAAAAGAACTACCTGATATTAAAAGCACTTTTAAAAATTAGAAATATCTAAATTTTAAAAAATAATGTATTTAGGAATATTTGCTACAGATGTAATCCTAAACTTGAAACAAATTTTCTAATCCCTGAATGTTGAAAATTGTCTAGGCAAGCAAAATGCTTTTTCTTTTTATGTATTCCCCTTTTCCATGGTTTATGAATCCTGAATTGTATTCATTCTTACCCTCTTTAATATCATGAAAACCTACCCCTTTAAGGACATGAAAGCTAGGAACCCTGTATTGAAACAAATACACATATGCACACAGCTTAGCACAGAATTTTAATAGATTCCTAAATTCTCTGTAGCTGACTGGAATCCCAGATTGACCACTGATGTTCAGATTTCCCAAAACAAAACAACCACAGACAAACAAAAATGCTCAAAACGTCAGTGCCTTTTTAGCTGCTCCTTTTGAAAGAAGTCAGAATAAGTTTAATTTAGGATAGCTCTCCTTTTCTTTCCATAGTATATATGCCCCCCCCACACATGTACACCCTTTGTAGGATAAAACATAATGACATAAATCTAACTATGCAAGTACAACTTTACTTTGAAATCTCTATTATTAATCCAGATCACATCAGGTATGGTGTGTATATGTGTGTATTTATTTTTTTTAACCATTGGCCAAGATAAAAATATGTATAGTCACATAGGATTAGGAGTATAATGTTTGTTAGAAGTGTTATGTAAATAAAGAGATCATTTTTGAAATAAAGGGATTCTTTTTACAGTTTTTAGTTGAAATAGGAAATAATAAAATTAAGATGTCATGAAACAAATCATAGACAAAAGCACAGTTAAATCACTGTTAAGTACATTGCTATCTGGTTAGCTACGTTCTGGTTAATAGAGGATTAACCAGGAAATCCTTTGTGTTCCAACCTTGTGGCTGAAATGCTTTAAAAATGTATCACTGTGCTTTTTTGTGTTAGCAGAAGATTTTAACATTCCCCCTCCATTTCTTTTTAAAACTTTGTGATTCCTTGAGATCGTTTCTATGAACATACTGATAGTGTACTGTACTATATACTATATTGCTAGAATATACACCAATCCTGAGGCTAGTTCCTTATAGTTTATTAATTTGTCTTTTAAGAGCATACAGTTAAGTTCTGATTAATTAAGGCTGTACTCTCCTATCTCAGTTTTACTTAATTCATCAAATTTTTATTGAGTGTTTCTAGCATAACATAGTGGAGCTTAGAATCTAGAACAGCTTTGTTTATTAGAATTTTCTGCAATGATGGGAATATTCTGTATTTGCGCTCTCCAATAAAAAGAAAAACTCACTGCCATCAAGTAGCTATTAGCCATATTCGAAATGTGACTTATGCAACAGAGGAACTAAACTTTTTATTTTATTTAAATTTAACCAGCCTCATGTGGCTAGTTGCCACCATATTGGCCAGTACACCTCGAAACTATAGATGTTGATTCTACAAACTTATTACTTATGGAACCTTGGGTTACATAACCTATAACTAAAATGTAAATAATATATACCTTTGAGGGATGTTACAATTCATGAGATAATGTATATAATGCAGTTAATAATAGTGCTTGGCATAGACTAAGGTTTACTTACCTTAACAAATGTTTTAGGG